GGGGGGGTATAGATCACGTTTCACGGAAAATAAAGCAGCCCTTTCACAATTCACGAAAAATTCAACATTGACATTTCACGCTTCACGGAAAATAAAAGAGAACGTTTTGGAAAATCACGGTAAACGGCGACTATGGAAATCACGATTCACGAGGAAAAAAATGGCTATTTCACATTTCACAGGAAATAAAAAGGGCCGATCACGGGTCACGAAAATACCCTTTATCACCCTCTACAAATGACACTTGCGCAACATCGGTCGGTGACCGGCGACCTCTCGCAACTTATAACTACATTTAGAAGACTGCTATCAAGTCAGTTAGGCTGCATAGGAAAAGATGGGCTGAAAACTAGACTGCATATAATAATCTTCCTCTACGTGTTTTATATGTACTTGTTCCTCCCTGAATGATGGTTTACTCAGTTCACGTCCTTGATATGGTTCTTTTGCCGTCCAGTGAAAGTGTTCATTGCCACATCAACGCCAAGGAAATTCAAAAGCAGGTCGACGGCTTTCTCTGGTAGAATGCTTCAAAGATGAAAAAAGAGGAATCCTGTTACAACGAGTAATGCACAACTTCACTGATAATTGTTTTCATCTCTTAATTTTTGTTCCTTCCCGATNATTTCACATTTCACAGGAAATAAAAAGGGCCGATCACGGGTCACGAAAATACCCTTTACCACCCTCTACAAAGTTCTCATAATGTTCTCACAATCTAACAGGTCACGATCATTTGAGCAACGGTTGAGCGAAAACGCTTAACCTGGTTTCTAAAATCGTCAATGAAAAATTCGCTTTTTCGAATTAATTGTAATGAAAATGTAGCAAGTCAAAGTTAATTTACTCGATGAAAATGCAGACAAACAAAGTCAAAATACTCACGTTTAAGTAAACATCTTAGCTTGGCAAAAGTCAAAGGCTCGAAGTAGAGTTTGGATTGTTCCGAATAATCTTAACATCGCCGAAACAAAAGGAACTCGCACCAACCTCGACGGAAATTTTGCAGCTAAATCATGATTGAAACTGGACACGTCATCTTATATACGCATCCGTGCGTACATAGAGATTTTGTTCATGATGACTCAACAGGAATTAGATAGGACTAGCGCGCGCGCTATGTTATAATACAGCATTGCAGTTCTTGGAACATTTTCTTACCAAGTTTGATTTCACAGTTTTTCCCAATCCAAGACGCTTTACACAAACATGAAAATGTTTGTTTCTTGTCGTCTGTTACACAAGAGCCACCGTTGAGGCAACCAAGAGCTGTGAGACTTTGGCAACCCTGATCACACATGTAAAGCGTTTGAATTAAAAAAAAAAAACCAGACAGCTCAAAGTTCAGTAAGGACGAATATACATGCTAAAACAATTTTTAGTCAGAAGGGGATTAATTGGTGCGATCGTGCGAGCTTCACTGTTTGCTCTCGCTAACGTACAAACATTATTAACGTAACTGTATTAAAAAACGTTTATTTCGACGACTATAGTGTGCTGGATAGTATTCCGGAGACCCAATTTTGGAAAACGAAATTTATGTATGTTACTAACTACCCAAATAAACAAAGCAGCCGTACAAACAAGAAAAAAGGCCAAAACCAGTAGGTATTGAGGGCGAATCGAAAGTATAATGGTCGCATTATATCGCAATGCAAAACTGTTCAGTCGTCCTGCAGGCAGGCTGTTCCATCCGCATGACCCCCGGCTGAGAACAGAGACTTTCTCTATTAGTGACTTCTTCAAAGGGCCGCTACTTTCGTGTGGGCCGCTATTTTCGGGGGACCGTTACTTTCGGGGTTCGATAGGAAGAGAAAAAAATTAACGTTACTTTCGGGGAGCCGTTATTTTCGGCGGGGCCGTTACTTTCGGAATTCTGCGGTAGTTGCTAATTGCTAATTACCTTTAACAACAAAGAAAAAGTGACCCCTTTTTGATCATGAAACTTGGCGTTTTCGTCAATGGCGCCATGCTTGTTCAGTTCGCAAGTTCCTTTGGTGTTCTTCATAGATGACATCTTGAAATTGGTTGAGGTACACCATGTAGTTCTCAGGCAAGAATGGCTGCATGAGGTCAGGCTGGGAGACTCAAACCTTTTGACCACATGTCCCTTCAGTCGCTTATCTTGCCGCGTCGTGAAGATCACTGAACGAGAAAGTTCGGAGTCTTCTTCAGCAGCGTAAACAATGGTATTCACCATTCCTTGAAACATGACAAAGAACAGAACGTTTTTAGCGCCCATTACCTTTAAACAGAATTCGGTACTGAATGGAAAGGTAAACTGTTCAGAGGCTTGACTTTGCAAGTTTATTTCAAGGAGTGGTTTTGCTGCGTTGTTTCAATTATGCGACGAAATAGAAAGACGCTACGATTGGTTTATTCTTTCAAATATAATACTTGGATGCTTTTGATTGGTCGTTCGTCAAAAGTGTGGGGATGGGTTGTTGCCTGTGGGAGATCGGCCTGCATAAATTAAAAGTTTTGAGAAACCCGTTGCGGAGAGTCAGCGCAGGTCACTCGTTCGATGATATCCAGGTGACAGTGATGAAGGCAGATTTGCCTCAGAGAGCTAGTCTTGGGGCAGCTGGGGGAGATCGTTCTATGCACGCGAGCGCTTGCATCCTGGCACACCTAAATTAGTTTCATACGAGTACGAGTGCAAATAACAGGCTGAATTGCAGCAATTTCGAAACGTCGGTTATTTGATGACAGTTTAGTGCCTAAGAAAGACAAACTCCTAAATACATCTTGTTTGGCGCTAAGCAGTTTTCATATTTATCTGGTTCTAAAAGAACCTCTTTAAACCTCATGCTTCAGGTTTTTCGAAACTAAAAAGTTCACTTGGTTCCAATTTTTACCTAAATTACAAAGTATGACCAGTTTCTTTGTCAGAATGTACACTGATGTGACTGTAATTTGTGCCTCGTTGTCACCGAAGTTTTAAAAGTGCTTCAAACTTGATAAACATTTGGGCAAAAAAGTTGAGTCGCGTACCAGGGTGGTTTATTAACGTGATCTCAAAGTCACAGCCAAGGGATTGATAAAAATTAGAAGGTCAAATTTTCTTTAAAACAATACCGGTTATAGTGAATTTCCTTACATTTGATGATGGTAGTAGTTTAATGAATTTCAACGAAACAAGCAACCGACGTCAAATGTTGACAAAACGAAGACGGAGCGAGAGAACTTAAAATTATGAAAATTAGATACGAATACGACAGTTGCTATGACTGCAGAATGTCAGTGAATATTTTAGGTAAATGACAAAAGATGACGTCATTGAGTCTGTAAATAGCATGGTTGCAAGGCAAAATAAGGCCGTCAAATTTTCGTTAGCGTTAAAAAAGAACCACCTTCTCCTTATTTTAGCTCCAGTAAACATAGACTAACAACAAAAAAAAAAAAAAAAAAATCCGAAATTTTGGTTGGGAATTGTTTTCTGGGAAGAATGAGTTCCATGTGAAATTTCCCCAAAGAGACCGCCACTTTATTTGGTTCGGGCGCCATTGCGCGAAGCCGCGAAAGGCAAAAGGTTAAAGGCTTGGAAACGACCCAAAGAGAAAATGGCATCATTAAAAGCGTTAGAATTTCCTTTTTTCTTGGAAATTTCTAGCCTCCGTTCGCTCTTTGGGCTCGTCATCTTCCTCCCCGACGTGGGGAGGAAGACTGCGTGACGAGCTCGAAGAGCATCTGCGTAGAAGGCCAGGAAATTTCCAGTGGCCGGACTGTCGGCCGGACTCTAAACGGAAAACAACCAATGGAAGCTTTCTTGGGACCAAAAATTCAGGAACGTTCGATCGAAATTGAGGTCAATGGATTTAGCAAAATTCTCCCGTAGAAGGTTCTTAAAAATCTGAGAATTATGGGATGCTTTGAATGTCGAGGTAAGGACCGCAGGAAAACTAAGTCGAAAACGGCCGAAAACTGGGCCTGTGGGACCTAGTTCCCAGGGCTTTTCCCTCACTCCAAATTGAATGGTTACCAAGCTTCAACATGGCGGACGAATCACTTCGAATGTGACTTGTAACAGCAATCGCATTTACTTTGTAATGTACGGTGGCCCTCGTCGTCCAGGCTTCTCGCCATTTCAAGGGCGATCTAGAGCACCCTCATCGAACTTTAGGCCGCGATTCGAGAGTCCGGGATTTCCGCCACCAGGCCATAATGTTTATCCACCTCTTAGGCAACCTTTCCAACCTTCACAAAGGCCGTACGGGTTTATGGACGGTCCTGTTCCACAAGGAGTAAGACCAGGATTCCGGCCAGGAGCTTGGCAAGTAGCTGGAACAAGACAAGGCTTTCCATCTAGAGGATATCCTGAACAACAAAGGCCACACAGGGTACATACTGTATACAAGAAGACATGCTTGAGTTTGCCTCATAGTTTGTCTGCATTAAGCTTAATTGGAGGTAGTTTAGCTTGATTATTAAGCTTATACCGTTTTGCCTGAGTAGACGGTTGAAACTATCTAAAAGGCTGTTAAAGGGTTTATTTATTTATTTATTTATTATTTATTTTAATTATTTATGTTTTGCAAATCAATAACGAGTTAAAATACTTGTAGCTTGATATGCACTTAAAGAAGTTTTACATGCGTGCTAGGTAAGCTTAGGCCCTGGTCAAAAGTCGAACTTCACATGAGATGAACTAAACTGAGTGAATTAATATAAAAGTTAATGATAACTTCGAAGTTTGACTCAACTGAGTTCGTCCATTTTATTTGTTAAGGACACTAGCTAGGCCAATCATGATTAGTTAATAATTGTCTCTTTATCTTAGTTACGAGCGTAGTTACAATGTTTACTTCTTTTTTAATGGTTTTTTTAATCGGACCTTTAAGCGTCACCACACGCATATAAACACTGAGTTAGTGTCCCTTTAAAGTAGTTTTTTGTTCCTTCTCGCATGGCCTTGTCAACCTTGAACTCTTGATGTTTTTTTGATTTCCTAACCCTTGGCTCGAGCAGAACCGATATTTTACGATCGTTTATTTTGATGCAATAAATCGCTGATAACCATCAACTTTGGTTTTCCGTGGTTTACTTGTCTACCCTTGAAGATGACCTGTAAAGTAGTCCCACCCACTAGTTTGTCGCGACATGCCTAGAGCTCATTTTGTTTCATCTCGTTCTGGAATTTGCCAGTCGCTGCACATGCTACACTAACCGTCTGCTGTACATGCAGGCAGAACCTCTTCAGGAAACAAACAGTGTATATGTATGTGGTGTAACATTGCATTCTTGATTGCACCCTCAATATCCACCTTGTCACAAATTACCACCTTAATTTAACCCACAACTTGCTTCTGCATTACAGAATTGTGCCCATTGAAAAGCATCGCCTAGGGTAAAGTGTACTGCTGTACCTGTGAACAAGGCTGCAAAGGATACCGCTGGTTTCGTTTTCGATTTGCTGAAGCGTTGAAAATTGAAA